GGTGTGGCGCCCTCTAGTTTCTAGAACTATCTTGTTCTTTCAGGAATGCTCTAGTATTTGCTAGATAGGGTAGGCTGGTATATAAAAGAGGGGAATGTAATTTGTGTATAGATAGTGAGTAATTGATCTGCAGTCAGAAGTATTATTGAGCACGTTCATTGTTATAGCGTTTGTTTAGCGCGATTGTTGACGTTGAGTGTATCGGTAAAGTTATATTCGAAAAGAATAAACCAGTTTTTATTGAGAAAGAACTTGTGTCGCTTAAGTTTCGTCGGAACGAAGTTATGGAAAATTAATTAACAACCGGAGACGTAACAATACGGTAGCGTAATTGTCAAAAAGCCCTAAAATTATGTTTTTGTGGCATCTTGACCCCCTCTAATTACTAAAAATAGGCAAGTCCACCATTTTTGTTTGTCATTGTATGTAAGCTGTAGAAAATTATCTTTGAACCAAATCCTATGTAAACTAATTAGTGTATGGATGAGTAATTGACCAAAAAATCCCAAAATTATTCTTTTTGTGAGCTCTGAGCCCTGCTAAAAAGACTCAAAATGGACAAATCCAACTTTTTTGTATGTAAATGTGTTACAGTGTTATGCGCGTGAAAATTTATATGTGTGCCAATTTTCATCTTGATTACTGTAAATATGATCCTACAGAAGCCCAAAAAGAAACATTTCTAGGTTGTTTGGCTTTTGACCCCATAAAATTCTTAACAGGGCCTAAATAAATAAAAAAGTGAAAGCGACCTCTGGGCGCATTGGACCCAGGTAAAACTCTACCAAGTTTCATGTCAATCTGCCAAGAAATGAAGGAATGGCGATCGGTTGAAAAGTATTTGGAAGAAGAACAAACAATAGAAAAACAGTATGTTCCTCTGCGGAGACACAATAATTTACTTCAATTTTTATGAGACAAACCGTATTGTTTGTGTTGACTTTAAAGTTTTAACTATCTTGGGACCTTTGTTAGTTCTGTCACTGCATCCTTTATTTTGTCTACAACAATAAAGCATGAAGGCGACAATTATCTGAAAAATTCGATTAGAAATAAAGCCAATTTTATTGATATATTCGATGACGAGGAACCCACTTTGAGACTAATAATGCTTGAAGATGGCTTGAATGGGTAATGAAGAAAAACTTTAATATAAGTTTAACATTACAACAAATATACAACGTTTCGACAAGGTTTTGTCATCATCAGGTGAAAAAAATTTGTCGAAACCTTGTACATTTGCTGTAATGTTAAACTTATATTAAAGTTTTTCTTCATTGCCCATTCAAGCCGTCTTCAAGCATTATTTAGTGATATATGATCAGCATGCATTTGTACAGGGTACAGTTGAAATTATTGTTACGTATCTGCTTGTTTGATAATTTCCCTTAAAAATCCTTTCCGAGAAACTTCAGCGATACAAGTCCTTTCCTAATTAAAACTAGTTTATTCTTTCTCGTT